GCTATCTATCTTGATGCAATGATGGTTCATCGGAACTCTCAAGTATTGCATACATGCATTAATTTCATTCATGTGGGGGATTGTAAGAAAAATTGATTTGTACCGATTTTACAGTTCTATTTGTTGTAAATGAAAGACTTAGAAAATTCTCAAAACCATTTAAGATGAATGAGAAATTAATTCTAAGTTGTATATGTGGGAAATATAAGGTTGAAGGAATGAGTTTAAGTAACTCAAATTATTAAATTTGTAAAATATTCTGTTTTGACAATTATTTGGACAAACTAAATGAGCTATAATTATGTATTATGTATGCTAGAATTATAGAATGGCTCGTTGGGGACAAGTAGGAAAAAACAGAACTCGATTCTGAGTCCGTATGAGCTCGTACGAGCCCGCGGCACACGGGCGCGCAGCTGGTTGCGGAAACCGAATGGTCACAACCTTTAGTGAATATAGGATGTCTTTTGGCCTCTAGATGGGTCCATTCTCATTCGGGTACATCCCAAAATGTGTCTTTTAGCACTTAAACCTCTTGAAGGTGTTTTTCTACATTTATAAATGGGAAAATTCTATTGGAAGGCCTAACTTTTAGTATATGTATTAATATAAGGCCTGAATTTTATACTTTTTCAATTGAAGGCTTACATTTTATGTTATTCTCACTTTAAGGCTTACTTTTTTGTTAACTTTTCATTATAAGGCTCAACTAACTTTACCTTTTCATATAAATATGTAAAACAATTATTATGTTAATAAAAGTTTTATTATTTTTATTATTATTATTATTATTATTATTATTATTATTATTATTATTTTACATACTCATAATAAAAAATAATAAATATCTTTAGTAAAATTATATTAATAAAAAAAACTATATAAATTACAGTGATAAAATATTGGAATTAAGATAGTAAAATTATATTAATAAAAAATGAAACTATATAAACATCTATTTCAATGATGTAAATTTTCATTGTTAACCTTTTTGCATAAATATTATTTATATAGTTTCGCATCATTGTAATTTATATACTTTCAATTTTTATTAATATAATTTTACTAAAGATATTTATTGTTTTTTTATTATAATTATGTAAAATATAAATTACAAAATAATAATAATAATAATAATGGTAATAATAATATTTTTATTAATAATAGTTGTTTTACATATTTAAATGAAAAAGTAAAGTTAGTTGAGCCTTATAATGAAAAGTTAACTAAAAAGTAAGCCTTAAAGTGAGAGTAATCTAAAATGTAAGTCTTCTTTTGAAAAAGTATAAAATTCGAGCCTTAAATTAATAAATATATTAAAAGTTAGGCCTTCCAATGAAATTTCCCCTTTATAAATACCCACATATGAAATCATTCATAACTTGAAAATTAGAGAGCTCTTGCATTATTTTTCAAAGATCATATAGCATATTGTGTTCTTTGACTTTTTCATTGAGTCTTGAGAGTTCCAAACAATAGTAGTGTTCGTCGAAGGCTTGTATGTTTGAAATACCTCTATATACAAGTCGAAAGTCGTTCTATCTTGGAGGCGTTTTCCGTTAACCCGTGGGTATTTTACGGGGCAATTTCGTCTTAAGGAGAACGTAATTATTATGTGCCTCGACTTTGATTTTTGTTTCGTTTTCTTTATTCTCCTTAAGCCGTTTTCTCTCTCTTTTTTTTTTTATTCACAAACCACACAAATTTATAGTTAGTAGATTTATTTAAATGTTAGTATTTGTTATTAGTTAGCAAGTTAGTTTCGGCAATATATAATTGAGATGTTAGGAATTGCTAGCAATTAGTTTAGAAAATAAATTTAGTGCTGTGAATTGTTATTTCAGATTGTTAGAAATTTTAATTATTAGGTAAGTATTAGAATGTTAGATATTTAGTTACCTTGGGATTAGTATTTGATTTCTATTAGGACTAGGTTTA